TGAAATGATGTAGTTTTTCTGAAATTTGCTTTATCGTGCTTTTATGTAAACACAAACTTTTCTATAAAAAAGTCTAAATTAATATTTATGTTTAACACATGACAGATTATGTCTTTCCAGGAATATAAAGAATATTGATATTTTATATAAAGTTATTTTTTACTTCAAACCCCAGTGACGACATTGATCGTTGTTTTAACCATCAGCACTTAATTTTGATGTACAGCAAAACAACCTACAAGTTTACTACAGGTGCCCACTTTCGACTATAAACAATCTCAGAATTCGTCACGCAACCTATCTATGTTACAGTCTTCGTGCAGTTGCTTCGCACGACCAACAGATCGGCTGCAAGATTCAGTGTTTCGGCAATTTTTGAACAGTGAACATCGTGCATTCGCGTGAATACCAGCGGCATCAGTAGCTGCGTGCGTGGAATTTGACTCAGCAGTTTGTTTTTGCTTAGCTGTGCGTTTTATTAGGTTGGTGTTGCAAATCGCTCAACTTGATCCGTGTGTTACACATTCGATCGTTTCGTAGTTTGTTATCGGTAGACTTTGTGTTTGCAGTTGATTTCGTGCTCAAGTTTGTGAGAGAGAAATTATGCAACGTATCTAGAACTAATGGGAACATTGCAATTCTCGCCCATATCTGTTTTATAAGCTCTGGTGATTTATAGTTATATCTCAATCGTTTAAGTTAATTAAATACGGGAGCTAAATCTCAAATTCAATAAATCATACTTTGAAATAAATTTATCATCTTTGTTAATGGTTCACCTTGAAATCGCCAATTGATGTAACTTTTAACGAAAGGAAAATGTCGCAGCACGAATCCCCAACCTTTGCATCAAACCAAAATATCTGGATAATGCTAAATCGGACTGCTTTCAACAGTCTATGGCGTATCGATCTAACAAGCTGTGGAATGCGAGCGTGAAAATTGAACAGTGTTTGCTCGTAGATAATCCATTCAGATGCTGGTTTGCAAAAAGTAAATATTCGCTAGTTTGTACCTGGTTCGTGACAAAGTCAATTCTGGCTACGAAAATTAGGAAATGGTTCAACATTCCTGCACACAGTTAGAGGGAAGTTGAAGGAAGAAGGGAAATACAGTTTCTTTGGTGTTCTATTTTCCTACGATTTATGTTCCGTCCATGAAGTTGAGTTTACCCTTCCCCTATGTTTTCTATTTATTATGTTTGTGAATCGCCTGCACCAATAAAATTGTGACCTTCCCTGCTTCGCAATAGTAGATAGTTTAAAAGTAGATTTTTTTATGCTCATAGAGAATGAAAGTTAAATTTCCAATAGGGACTAATTATCACGTTTTCAAAGGTATTTATCGTATTTCGTTAGAAAAATGCCTGTTTAGCATTACCCATATTTTTATATTCAAAACAGAATGTTTTCTAAATTTTGTTAAATTATTTGCGATATTTCATCTATTTAATCGGGGGCAAATTGATCACAGATCGAAATAAATTTCTACGAAAAAGGAAATTGACAAACTAATGGTATTAAAATCAGTAGCTATAACCACTCTTTTATCCTTCAAGATTACTTATCATATTGGATGTTTAGATTATTTTACGGCATTTTTGAAATTTCTAATTTGAAAATGTTAACATGGGTTGAAATAGATCAACCCCTCAAATAACTTCCTAGTAAATGTAAAGTCCTAGTAAATGTAATGTCCTAGTAAATGTAATAAAATATGAGTTCCCTGAATCGGAATCAGATGCTAAAATCCTTCAGCGTGTATTTTCTGCTCAAATACCAATACAAATTTCTAACAATAATTGACAATGATACTCTAAGGAAGCTTTAGCGTGACACTTCACACTTTTGTGAACGTTGACGTCAATAAATAATGACATTTGTGCTTTTGAAGTTTCACGCTAAGGTTTCATTGATTCATTGATTTCTTGATGTTTGAAACATTTGATAGTTATTCATTATATTATTTGGATTCATTGACACTTAATTTTCTAAAAAATACCACTTTCAAGCTAATGACAACAATCGCTACAGTTCTACGAACGTTTGTTTTAATGCTGATGTTGTATGCTATCGGACATCAGCTTAATAAAATTGAAAGTTGCATTGGTACATACTTTTTTGCTATGGGAAACTCATCAAAACAACCATTTGAGTCCATTTCTTGATGAAATAATAATACTGATTTCACTTGATATCTGTCATTAATAAAAAGTCTACGAATGAAATGAAAATGAGAGGCATCCACCTTATTTGGTATTAAATATCTAAGTGTATTTACTTTATTGTAGCCTAATTTGTTTTTTTTTATTTTATCAAGTTATTATTTTAACCCCAGCAGGCCTGGGTTCAATCCCAGTCGGCGCCGCCGGGATGTTCTGAGGCAAAACATCTCTGATCACGCCTTCCTTAGGAAGGGAAGTCAAGCCGTTAGTCCCCGGTTCATGAGTTGATGGGTCGATAGGTAGGGTCCAGGTATGAGAGCTGTCTTCCTGGCGTCGGTAGCATTGGTGCTCAGCACGGAAAATAAGATCGATCGAAAATAAATCAAGGAAAAATGTTTTTCTATACTTACGTGTTAGTACAGGGCTGGTAGCAGGTCATTTTTAGGTCACTATTTTCAAGTCAGCCAAAAAATTGTAATATTCAGGGATAAATTTTAAACAGTTTGAACCATTTTTTTAAATGCTGGGACTAAACAAATTTTTGAGACAAATCTCGAATTGTCAAGTCGCAGCATTAAAAAAATGGTCCAAAATCTTAAAAATTTATCCCTGAATATTAGATTTTTTTCATGATCGTGATTTTATGTCCTAGACGCATACCAAATTTTCTATCGTAGAACCCCGTTAGTGTGAATTGCTAAAATTGTTTTTAAACGACGCTCATTTAGAATTTGTTAACTAAAACAACTACACAGGTGACCAATGGTGATATGTATGTTTGGGCACCAGTTAAACCAATTCTAAATGAGTGCCGTTTAGTTGCAATTTTAGCAATTCAAACTAACGGGGTTCTACAGTATGTCCATGATCTATCCATCATGTGAAATTTTTCTCGTTCCAGAACAATGATTTTTTTCTTGGAATGCAAACTAGAAAAGTGATCTAATCAAATTTTAAATATATGCTCATGGTTTTATTGCTGTAGATATATGGCAAAATAGTTAGTTAGTTAGTTAGTTACTTATCTTTATTAAGGAGACTTTCAACCGAACGCATATGGCAAAATATATGCCCTCTTTTTGTATCGAAATACATTTTGTAAATAATGAAAAATATGTAAAATATAATATAGAGCCAATTCGAGGACCACTTGAGCCAAAAACTGACACTTTTACCAAGTATAGAAGAGTGCAGAGTGAGGAAATGGAGGTTATAATTGGACCGTGCCCTTGCTTAACACATATTTTTAGAGATTTATGGAAATCACCATTTGTTTTATTCAGAAGCATGCAAAATATTCATAAAGGGTTGTGAGTTTATGAAATTTCTGAAGTGGCAATCGCAATCTACAAAAGCTTGGAACCATATCTTTCCGTTCAATAAATGTCACTATTGGTTACTTTTTCATTGTTTGAAAGTCACTATTTGGCCACTATTTTCATTATCACATCCACTACCAGCCCTGTATAACAATTTATGTCAACTTAAAAGTTAATCATTATTCTACATCTTATCCAATTATAAAGGGATTTGAAGATTGCAACGATTTTTTCCTAAAATTATTAGGTAGGGTTAACTACCCCATTTCCAGCCTATTAAGCACAACCCGCACTTAGTATTTCTTAATCTAGCGCAGTTTAGCACCAAACGGAATGTTATTATTACTGATGGCTTCCAAATTTATTTACCTTTGCGTATGTACCGTAAGATTAGATAAAGAGAAATCAATCGTTGAGATATTGTCAAAAGTCTAACACTGCTTCTTGGCGCCAAACTCGGCCTCCGGATTCTAAACTCGGCCTAACGCATTGAAACGCCATTGAAACGCCAATCGGATGTTGATGCCATTTGTAATTATAGCATGCTATGGTCCATATAGACTGGTACTGGTACTGGTTTTCCAACAAACCCCTTATAAACATATTAGTTTTGCTGGAAGAATTGCTGGTCTTCCAGCTTTGTAAAATCCAGCAAAATTTTGCTGGTTGACAGCAATAAAAAAAAAATAATTGTGTACGTAAGATAACCGGGGAAAATCGGGAACTTAAATTATTAAATCTAGTGGTAATCCTGCTAGCAGACATGTGCACCGATCAACATATTTTCGGCGGCGGCGTGATATGTTATTTTATTTTATGTTATTTTATATATATGTGAGTTTATTTGTAATAATTTAGAAAAAATACTTTACAAACCAATCGCAATGGACAAAAAATGCTATCCACATTTGAGTTTAGATTACTAAAAATCGCTAAAACGTAGGTCACTCATAGTTTGAGTAAATTTTCCGACACTTTCCCGGGGAAAACTTCTCGAACGACAAAACCATTTTTGTAGCTAAAATGTGCTTATGATTGCCTCTATAACTTGCATAATAGCAAATCACTAAACATTAAAAACTTTGAAGATAGCTTTTAGTTATTTAATAGGAAATTATGTAATTTTGTAATTTATCTTATTTTTGTATTTGTAACATGTTGCACCAATCTACGCAATATTCGATTTTTTGACTATTATCATCAAATCTTGACTAAATACTCATTAGTCCAAACACATTTCAACGCTAAATAGTTAGAAGCTTATTTATGACCAACCTTTGAATGGAGCTACCCCACTGTGCATGGGAAGTATGGCTACTATTAAGCTTTCAACAGCATAAGTTGCATCAGGTGTAAATAGGTGTAAATCCGTAAATGTGTGATTTACCCAGAGGTGCATTTTGCATGCTACTCCCATATTGCTGCAATCCTTTTCTTTATTGCCATCACTGCCTTTAAATTTATTCCCTTGAGAATCTATAAATAATCAGAAACACCGTTCTGTTCTTCCCTTGCAGGTGTCATCAGGTTTGTCGCCACTTTCGAGTCCTCTGAACCGTGGCTCCAGCAAGTCGTCAACCTCACTTGCTGGTACAGCTGGTCGTTCCGAACCGTCGGTGCGGTTCAAGTTAGAGGACGAAATTATCGGCAGCCTTAGTGCTAGTAGTGCCAGTACCAGCGGCAGCAACAATGAAGACAGCCTAGAGATTATGGAAGAAATAGAAACACAGGACGATGGAAGCAAACAGGACGACGACGTTACCAGTAGCATATCGGAAAACGTTCCTTTGAATGTTGGCACCGTTGATGTTGTTTCTCAACAGTCTTCTAGCAAACAGCAAGTGGCTATCGAGAGGAAAAGGCAACTGTTTGATATTGACGATGAACCGTTCCCGGGTGGCTCAAATGACGGAAAATTCGACATTGATGAATTACAACTATCAGGTGATGACATTGCTCATCATTTCCAACCGTTAAGTGATGGTGACGATTTGAAGGTGGATGATTTCAACGTAAATATCGCTAGTAAACGAAAGTTATTGCAGCAAACTCATGACGTTGATTCATTGGAGCAGATTTTAAATGATATTGAGTTAGAACAAGTGCATGAAAGTTCCAATGTGGGTAAAAGTGATTTAGTGCAGAAAGTGTCCGACGCAAAGTTAAGTTCCGTAAGCCAAAATGTTTACGAATCAAAGAAAGAATTATCGCCTCTAAATGAAGATGTAGTGTTGATCAATAATAGTAAAGTGAGTCTAAAATCGTTGAAGAAGCTGCATAAACAACCAAATGTGCTTGATAACAGTGATAATAGTTACAGTACGACCAATGATATTTCGGAGTTGGCTCGTGATACAGAAAGTGATCGCATGATGAGTGATAACAACGATCGAAGCACACAAAGTGAAATTGCTTCTAAACCAATATATAGTGATAAAGAAGCATTTCTTAAAATGGTATCGCCATTGAGAAGCAAAAGTGTAGAATCCGCAGAGAAAAGCCAACAAGAAGATAAGCCGTCATTTGCAAGTCTAGGAGCAGTGAAATTATGCGAAGAAGAGCAGCATGATGCGAACGTGGAAGAAGATAATTCTATCGAAGAAATGTTAATGTCAAATCCTTCGGTTGAAGCATCTGCCGGAGTTAACGAGATGAATTCGTCAGAGATTCATCAATCAAAAGAACAAGGTGAAGATTCAACCGACAGTAACGTTTCTGGCGATTTAAAGGATAAAATACTAAGTTCTAGTAAATCTTTCGAAGAGGTAAAATCCCAGCACGATTTAGACGTTCCGACCGACAATCTTGAGGGAGATAAACCTGTTGTTGTCAAGCAGATGGAGAAAGTGAGCGACTTTAAGGAAGCTCTGGAAGATATTTCTGAAGAATCAGAACAGACACTCACCAACTCAAACCATTCGGGTAGCAGGCCGAATACGGACGACGAACAAAAAAAACCTTTGATTGTTATAGAGAAGGGTAAGGAGATGCGTAAGATATTAGAGGACAAAATTCTTCAAAAGCAGCTAAACGTAGAAAGTACCATCTATGAAGATAACAAAGAAAATATACCTGATTCTTTGAGCTTAAACAAAACTTTTGATTTCGACAGCGTTGTTAGTTTGAACATGTTCCAGGCTATGAACAACGAAATCAAGCAACTGCATGATATTATTGCTACAAAGGATATTATGTTGGAGGCCTATTCTACGAGAGATTCATTAAAAGATGCTCGGGTCGATTCACTGAAGGATCCACATCGATCTAGTGATTCCAGTAGTTTAGCCACTAATTCTACTGAATATAGGCCGTTAAACGACGAAACAGTTTCGAAAAAGGAGCTGCTCCAGAGAGTTGCTGAGCAAAATCAGTGGATTGTTACTCTTGCAGAAAAGCTGCAGGAAACCAACCAAGCACGGGACCAGGAGAGGGTAGAAGGCATAAAACTGGCAGCGGAAGTCAACCGTCTCACGAAACAACTGGTTGAGAACGCTGAAACAATTAAGCAGAAACCGCACTGGATGCGTGATCAGGAAAGTACAGGTCAGAGAATATCGGAAATTTCCATAGATTTGGTAAGCGAAACCGATGATGCCTTGTCGGATTTTCCTGACATGTACGAAGAACGTTCCAACAGGAACTCCCGTGAACGACAGCTAGATTTGAATCTAGATATCGACTACTCCGAGCAAAACCCGCTCCACATTCCCACCGCAATCAGCAAGCAGTTAGAACAGTTTCGAAAATATCTATCTCCAGATGAACTGAGACTGTTCAATATGGTGCAAGCAAAATTCGACGATTATTTGAATCAAGAATTGGACAAAATCAAAGTATCCACTGAAGATGAAGTCAAAATAATCCAAGAACGGCTTGTGGCAGAGAAAAATGAACATGAAACAGAAGTGAGCCGACTACGACAACTGTTATCTAACGTGAAAAGTGGATCCGTGGAAATTGAAGATTTACGCTGTGAGCTCGAAGCTCGTCATACCCAGGAGATGGATGATCTGCGGACATATTTTCAGAAGAAGGTTGCCGAATTTGAGAAGCAATATTCTGAAGAAGTGTTTTCGCACCATAGTCGACGGCTATCTAATGATACGGCTTCGGACATTTCGGATCAGGAAGAATTTCCTGAGGAAAATGGAGGCTACCAATCGAAGCACACTAGCCCGAAACGAAAAGTGAAAGAAGAAATCTATCTCAGTCCGACGCATAGAAAAATAACTCCAACTACGATCGATACCACTGAGGGTAGTGCAGATGAAGTGATGGAAGTTATCACGGAAGTTGAGAAGGTAGGTTGTATACTTGTTTGTATAACATTACATTATCACTAATTCTAGCTCCGTAACGTGGGTAGATCATCTTTTCGTGGTACGTTATGGCATCTATGATCTACCACCGATTCCTAGTCCTGACTACTTCAAACTAAGGGAACAGGATTTTTCAGTAATCAAAAGAACACATCTTAGTCCTTGTTGCTTTTTATGCCTTGTTCATAGTGTCAAGACTCGGCTTTGTCCACCGAGGATGATCTAGAAACAAGAAAAAAAAAGGAGTTAGTTAGTCTTCATGTATGTGATTCCTAATCTGCTATTCGTTGTTCCCTAGTTTGAAGTGATGCATGGTCATTATCGGTGTCATTCCTTAATTTTGTTGCTAAGGAATCCAATTTTGACTAGCAAAGCGGTGCGGTGCGCCTTTGTAGGGTGTTTCAATACTCCGAAGGGTATAAAAAGCGGAAACTTTCAATTAGAGTCGGATCCTAGCTATAAATGCAAGAATGACAACGACAACTACTGTATAAAAAAAATCGAATACTTCATCATTTCTCGATAGTGATGGAGTAATACGACATTAACTTAACTAAGGACACAGGATATACTACAATAGATCAAATTACTGGTCGCAGTGGTGTTAGGTCCCGAACTACATAATAACTATTACTATAACTATATACACATCAAACCTGCAAATTTCGCGTTCAGATAGTCACAATCAAAAATTTTGTGAGTGTTCACTCAGCGTGTCACATTTATTTATTTATTTATTTTATTTATTTATTTTATTTCGTCAACCAACGTAGACTAGTACATATTCGATAACAGTTTAGTTTTCTTAAATTTATTTATTTATTTCGTCAAAAGGTTAAAAGTATAATTTTGTCTTTAATAAAAATTAGGCAGTGTCAGCTTTCCTATTTTTTAATGAGTTATAATGCCTTATGGAGTAAAAATATTGTTTTAGTTTATGCCGAGACATTGTAAAGTCAATGGTTTCGCAGTATTGATTGTAAGAGGCCCATATTTTGCATAATTTGTGATTTGTGCGATGATGTTTTATGGCAAATAAATTTCGATTTCGGAGTTGCCGAGTAGGTGCATGGAAATTTAATTTTAATAAAAGTGCTGTGGAGTCAATGCGCTGCGAAACTATATCGTTTACAAATGAAACCATTGCATATTCACGACGCTCTTTTAATGTTTGTATGTTTATAAGCATGCAGCGTGCTTCATATGATGGAAGAGGAAATGATGTCCAAACTAATTTACGAAGAGCGTATAATAGAAATTGTTTTTGTACGGATTCTAATCTTTCTTCGTGCGTGATTGAAAAAGGAGACCATACAATGCTGCAATATTCCAGTATTGACCTCACATAGGCAATATATAGTGCTTTAATTGTGTATGGGTCCTGAAAGTTATAGCAAAAGCGCTTGATAAAGCCTAGCATGTTATTTGCTCTGTGAATAATTGTGTTGTAATGGTCTATGAAAGTTAGTTTAGAGTCTAAGATAATTCCTAAATCCCTAACTCTTTCACATTTTTCTACATTTTGATTTCCTAGTGCAATTGAAATATTTGAAGTTGTTCTGATTTGATTTTATCTGATTTGGTCCAAAAGTAATAATTCGTACTTAAAAATATATAACAAATTTTAGTGTAAATGCCAAAACTACGTTGTCCTATTCATAAGACCGTACGGACTACTAAATTTTCAACAGCATTTTTCTTGGCTTGCTGTTTTTCCAGATGGGACTGATATGCTTTTATAGGCAGTTAATTGATTTCAATATAGGTAATTTTTACAGTTTTCATTAGATGTTTAATTAAAAAAAAGGTACAAGTTTTACTTAATGCATAGTGATTTTTTTTTCTTTTTTTTATAGTCACTTCAACGCTCTTGGGTCATTCGTGACTTGTCCGGGGGTGAGATTTGAACTCGTGACTTTGGCGTGAGAGGTATTGATGCTAACCACTACGCCGTTGTCGCCCCCTGCATAGTGATTTTGTTGAATTGTAATTAATGCAATATTTTATTATAGCGTATCTTATCTCCAACAAACAACAAAAAATGATTTTTAAGATAAACACGTTTTTCTCGATTTCAACTTTTGGAACATGGGACAGATATGGAAAAGTTAGCTGAATCGCTAATCCGCTAATATTAAACTTAGATTCGCTAAATAGCGATGATCATCCTAAGAAGCGATGTTCCAAAAATTATGTAGTATCAAGAAATTGACAAAAATGTGCTTACTAAAAAAAAAACTTCTCTTTGTGATAAGAATTTGCAATAAACAATAAGTGTTTTTAAGTTTCGTTTGTTAAAACATTCAATTACTGGTTATGAACTAGCCCAGAAGTAGATAAAAATAACCCTTATAAAGTAATAATATAAAAACATTCAATTATAAAGAGAGAGAGAAGGATTAGTAATTTCCATTTAATTCCACTACTTTATTTGCTTATCCTTGACAGATACGCGTATTTCGTCTACAATGTGCAGACTTCTTCAGTGTCTTGTACTAATTTTAGTACAAAACACTGAAGAAGTCTGCACATTGTAGACGAAACACGCGTATGTGTCAAGGATAAGCAAATAAGGTAGTGGTATTAAATGGAAATTACTAATTCTTCTCTCTCTCTCTTTATACAGGTATTCCACTAAGACGCCCACATTCATCAGGATACATTCAATTAATTTTACAACCTGGTGCCAGTATTTTATTTTGATAAACTTAATAATATGTCTGACGTATTATGTTGTTTTTCCATTTAATTCTACTACTATTGTATCACTTTCACTTTCACTATCACTTTTAAAAAAATAAACTAAAACAAACATGTATTTCGTTTACTACTTGCAAACTTCTTCAGTGTATAGTCATAGACTATGATTAGACATTGAAGAAGTTTGCAAGTAGTAAACGAAAAACGTATCAGTTATAGTTTTTTTTTAAGTGATAGTGAAAGAAAATTTTGAAAGTTAATAGTGAAAGTGAATCAGTGAAACTAAAAGAGATACAATATAAGTAGAATTATATGAAAAAAAAAAACAACGTTAAAAGGTATACAATTATTCTACTGAAGTCAATCAATTTAGAAAATAATATGATTCTTAAAACCTCAAAAAATCATATGTATAAAAACAATTTCTGCTATAGGCGCACATCTTGCTCCGTAGTTTATCTTGCCCCGGAGTGTCCGAGAACAGTGTAAAAAAGTGACTTTCCTAATTTATATACCACTTAAACAGACGTTCAGTTTTGGTGTCGCAAATAAAAAAAATTGTGTTGCTGCTCAGTAAGATACTTGAGAAGACATTTTTGTCCAAGGTTTCAGCCAATACACGGCATTCATCCCAACAGCCAATTTGAACTTAAATTTAACGAAGTTCAAAAGTTCCGTGCGAAGAGCATGGAAATCGGTTACCACAATAGGGGGAATGTTTTCCTTTTTGACATTAAGCCGGGAATGTTTAATGGAATTTTGCCTGGATTCTCATCATCCGTAAACATATCAAATTGATTGCTCGATTGAATTTCATCAGAAGGGGGTTCAAGCGATTGCCCTTTTCCTTTTGCGCTTAGGCGCCATGGCGACAGAACCAAGTTTCTCCAAATCGACTTCCAAACAGATTACTATAAGAATCCGAAGGATCGAAGAGTCGATATCCAAGCATGATTATCGCGGTTAGGGTCCAAACAAGGATCGAAGAGAAATAAGAGTCGAACAGGTAGAAATTTTACAGGTAGTATTGAGAATTTAAAAGCGCTGTTTTTTAGCTTTAGGTAGTAGTAACACTTCCTTCAGAAAAAAAAACCAAATAGACTGCGAACTGATCTATCTGTTAAATAGTTCGTGTTTACTCCAAGTGACAATCATCTCAATGCAGAGTACGTTTCTTGTTTCTAATTATTATTTGTCTTTTATTCCTTATCGCAGGATTCCCATCCAAATGTTGACAATCTACGAGACCTCTATCATAGCAAAATCAAGGACCTCAAACGGCAGCAAGAACAGGACTTAAATGAGTTACGAAACAGGCTGAAGCATTTTGAGGAAAAACAAGCTGACGAAGAATTTATGGTACGTATCAAACGGTTTGTTCCCCTAGCATGGAAATCTTTTTGTTAACAACAGCATGTGTTTACTAAATCGATCGTTTATTGTGATCACTATCCATCTTCCTTCTTTCTCTTTTTCTATTCCTGCGGTTATCATCCACCGCCCTCTCCACATACACAAAAACCTAACACCATTAGCCTAACACTGAGGCCCCTCTCACGAGCAAAGACGCATCCCATACAATAACTCACGCGGCGGCAGCATCGCCGGCAAAGCCGGAAAGTATCCCGCCCCAGATTGGTGTTTTACTAACAGAAAAGAGCACCACCACAACCACTAATACTACCACTGTGGATATTGGCACCGAGCCAATCGACGATCTGCACGAGATAATCGCCGACTACGAACGACGCCTGCAGGAACAGGTGGCTCTGGCTCGTCAAGATGTCCTTCGAGAGCTAGAAGTACAGATTCAGGTAAGTGGACACAATCATCATTACATTTGATTGCTTTCTTTCCTAGGATTGCGTGCAATATTGCATTCAAAAGTAGGATTTTCATTATTCATGATTACAAGGTTTACTTACATTATTGCATGAAGTAGGGTTGATGTCCCTAATGTTGGCGTAAGTGTACCTATATAATATTCTGCCGTAAGATGACAAAGTGACGTGAACACTGCCCAATTTCCACTTTTCACCATATTCGAGTTCTACATCCTAAACAACATCCAAAAGTACTCATCAATTGAGAAAAAATATTGGTTGGAAGCATGTGACGTAAGCCATGCACACCATATAAAAGTGCTGAACCATTAACCGCTGTTTTAAATATAAAGGCAATGTTGCTAATGATTATGATGTTATGATCACAAGTTTTACTTGTAAGTTACAAGAAGGGATAATCAAAAGTATTTGCTTTCTGAACAATTCGCTAAATGAATTTACGGCACTTGGCATCTCACGGCAGTATTGGACCCATGCATAAATAATGAATTTTTGATCATTTTTCATTAACTACCGATAATAAATAACCAGACTATTGTCCAGATAAAGCATTGTTCTATGAACAAAAGAACAACGTTGAGTCCCAACATTATAGTAATTTCCTCTATCTCATACATTTTTGCTGAACGTTTTCATTTATATTTTCATCCATATGCATTGGTTCTTGGATTCAAATTCTCACAAAATCAATTAGTTTTTAAATTTTTGAAGACCTATTTGGTGCCTAACAATGTTTTATTCGGTTCAATTGTCAAGTTATACAGAGTTATTAACAATGTATACTTAAATTCACGAATATAATACTCTTCACGCAATTCAAATGGAATTATTTCTGATTCATGACCTAATAGATTTTTGTCAATGATTCTAAAATAATGTAAGTACAATAAATATTGTTGATTAAAAAAGAATGTTGTACAATCAATAAACCATTAATTTGTTAATTCTACAAACCGTTGTTGATTCAATTTTGTAGAATTAATTGTGCAATATTTTAGAATAAATAATAAAATCTATTGAGTCTTGAAGCTAAAATTTTTGTCCTGCGTGTTGATGTACTATTATGACAGCATGTAAACGAAACTAAGTCAAATACTGAGTTGCAAAAAGTTAAATGGTTATTAAATAATTATAATGAGCTTTCCCATTTTTGCTAAGCATTGATTTTCATATTACAAATTTGTACACCATAATCAATTTAGTACAATATCTCATCTCACTCAACCATTTTACCGAGTGAGTGAGATGAGAAGTGGTCCATTTAGAACAGATGGTACCAGATTTGTTCTCTGCATAGATAGTGCGCATGTGCGAGCGTATTTGAGAACCCGCGCAAGCTTACGGGTTCGTATTTTTAGATTCAATTGGATCATGTTGTCAGTTTGGATTTGAATTGTGCTACTGCCGGACGTTTCGGTTCCGCGTGATTTTCGTTAGCTTACGGAGTGAGCAGCGTATAATTGATTAATTGAATGAAATTTTGGCGAAAAGTTTACTATCATAATGTAAAGCGATGAATGAGTGCTAGCATATAATAGTATTCAATACAAATGGCTACACATTATGCGTAAATAAATGCCACGTAGCTCGTATTCAAACTGCGATAATTGAGAGTTTCACAAAAGCGAGAAACAAAAATATTTAAAAGTGAAGTGAATGATTTGGATGTAAATATACGGTGTGCGAAAAGAGCGTGTTAGTTTCTCTATCACATTGATGTATTAATAGAAATAGTGTGTTTTGGTTGTTTTATGAAGCACCTGACCACATGCCGCAGCAATACCTACAGAATAGCATAGCCGTTGGTGAACTTTGAATCGTTTGATACCTACATAGCGAGTGGAGCGATAGTACGCTATCAATAGTAGAAAACAATACAAGGTGCGTTGGAAGTGTTAGGATGTTTATTCCCCATGTTTTCATATTGTTTTCCAACTTATGTTGCTATCGCATTACTTTGTTTTCTATTCATGAATAATAATTTAAAAAAATCATGGATCTTCGGAATTCAACATATGTTTTATATTACATTTTTTGCGTTTAGAAGCCTCCAAGTAGTGCTAAAATAAGCACGCAGAAGAAAGCAATTGTATCATGTGCGTATGCGAAATATGTATGTTTTTTTGTCGAAGCCATAATTCATGTAAAATTCTTCATTTACGAAACACCAGAATAACCTACTTATTATTGAACTTGATTTGTGAAAAGTTTATCGGCCATCGTAAATTTGCATTATTACATGCGTCGTTAACTTAATATGTAGTGCTTTACGATTCTTCATGTGCATTATTACACGACTTTTGATTTTCTGGGAAACTTATAAAGTTTCTGTCAATTGTAGTCAATTGTACATCATACAAGTGACGACGATGATGAGACATTAGAACTAAATGCAGGAAAATAATTAAAATTACTATGATAAATAATAACGTGAATGAATGCACTCACAATCGTCATACATTTCCGGGCTGCAGACTCATGCAATTATGCTTGTCAACTGAGACCCAACCCGAGCAAAGTTAGTGATCAAATTGAAATCAGAATTTGCTGTTATGATGTAACTTATTTTGAATACTCCATTTGATCTCATTTTGGTTGACTTAACGGTTAACACAGCAAAAATGAGAGCAACATTTTACACTGTTAAATCAAACGGAAAACTAATCCTGCTTTCAATGAAATCAAGGTGATTACTGATTTTGCATCATAATGTTTAACTGCTTTTCACGCTGAAAGACTTGATCTCAAATCTCACCTCGGTTTAGTCACGAATGACCTAAAATGTGTTAAACAAAACAAATAAACAATAATCGTTAGTTCAACGACAGATGAACTTAAATCAAATTTAAAAAAGAAATTAACAGCAAGACTTCAAGCGAAGATAACAAATCAAGAAGACTGGCAACTCTTCCATTTTCTCATACGACCGTTATGAGACAGGTACAATCGCGTCATCTGCCGCTCAAAGGTAAATGCTTCGAACAAATTTGATAGCAAAGATTACATCCTCAGAAGAAGGGTTTGAGTATTTGCTCATTTTTCTATGCGTTGCTTCCACCTTCACTCAAGCGCAGCGCCATTGTATATGTCGCTTGGATTCTGGCAAATTTGCCAGTCTTCTTGATTTGTTGTCTTCGCTTCAAGTTAAGTTGCTTTGATTTAAAATGTCTTGACTGCATAATCAAAGCATAATATGAAATCAGACTTCTGTCGCGACAATTGTAATCAAAATGAGTTTTCATTATGATAGGAACTGCAAACTTTAATATCGGTTTGCTTTCATTTTGTTAACCGACTTTGCTCGGGAAGTAACTGTCAAACGGGAGTCAAACATTTCAAGTGTAGTTAAGTCTAACAGTTATACAATAGATTTGGCTGTCACTTTGCCGCAACGGATTAGATCATGATACCTTGTGCGTTTACTCTTCTTATAGGTCATCTAGTATTTTCATCTCATAAAAATGAACCATAATCATCAATAGCAGAAAAAAAAAACAATGTAACAGTTGATGTATCAGTTAGGCTTTCGAACACAATAGAACATGTACCTAATCTGACGAATGTAAAAATGCTTTAATATTGTTATACTGGCACGTGCACTTCTGGTTCAGAGCTTTTAGCAGGAATCAACTGAAGAATAGCATACAAATTCGATCGAAATATAAAAAAAAATATTCAAGCTGTTTCATTGGCTTGCAAAATAAAATCAACCGTGTCTGCAGTACCCAGCTATTACGCATATATATTCCAAACCTATAATATTATTTTCAATTGAGCTGGTAGTTCAGAGTTATGACAATGACTCCTAGAGATCCTCCAATTCGACAGTGAGCATGCATAAGGGCCTATACGCGATGATCGATTCTCTTCATCGATTTTCTCTTTTGTTAATAACTCGTTAGATTTAACGTTTCTCGGTACGTTTGCTATTGCTTTTGATAGCTAATACAACCTGTTACAACTCTGCATTGAACAAATTCTAGAAAATTGTTTCGCTTAGCTGTAGCAATGCAAAGAGAAATTCGATGAAGAGAATCGATCATCGCGTATACGCCCTTATGAATGCTCACTGTCGAATTAAGCTATTCAAATTGATTGATATAAACCCTTGCCAATTTAGAATCGGTACGCTTTCAATCGGATGTATCTCAGAATCTGTTTTAGAATAAAACGTTATTAGAAGAAAATGTTATGTATTTATTGTAGTTTAAAGATACAATATGTCTTTAGTGAATTTTAAACCTCTCGAATGAAAATTCGAACTTTGGGCTTGATACGTGCTATCAACTTCTGCACAAGCTGCTGGTCAACTTCACCGGCTGCTTTTTTTCTCCAGTATCTGGCCATTGAAATAGCATCCTTAGCCATTTTTCCACTCTTCTTCAGTTAAGCTTTGATGATACCCCAACACACTTCGATTGACCGGAAATCCAGGCAGTTTGGGGGTTTCATCCCTTTTTCAAGACGTCTACTCCATTATCGCGATATAACTGTTGCGCATTCTTACTGTAGTGCCAACTCACCAAAACACACTCGGTGGGACCTACACCTACACCTAAACACACCCGGTGGGCAATACACGTTTTTTCAGGCATTCGTTGATTTATAACTGCCCGTTTATATTGTTGTTTATGATGAAATTCGAAGTCTACTAGCCACAGCCACAGATTGTCTGCCAGGTCATCAGCTTACCGGCAAACTTGACCGCAATAACAAATTTATATTTCTTGGGAACATCTCCGCACCCCTGGCAACATGAAACTTCTGTCAAGGAAGCACCTAGTCACACAGCTTTCGGGCCCTCGTTTTGAAAGTCTTCATGGCGTTCTAACGCAGTTTCCTGTTCCACTGTACCGCTTCAACGCCTTGATTGCACTTTTCGGGAAACAGCCAAACGTTCCTTGAAATGTTTCAGCACTGCACAGACGGTGCTTTTGGCCATTTTCATATCCTTTGCAATTCTCTTATCCGACCTTGTCGGGTTTTCATATCTTGTGTGCAGAATTAATTATCTTTTCTTCCATCCCGTGACAATTAAAGAAAACATAAACTGTTTAAAAAAAATGTACAGGATTTCAAGAGAAAGTCATTGTAAACCAATTTTTGTCAAAAGATTCCAGAACCGACCACTAGAAGCGCTCCAACGGACAAAAAGAGGCGCTCCAGTTCTAAATTTACAGGATTTTAAGTAAAACATTTTTCATGCAATTTATTGCAATAACCGCCAATATAATTTAGCCGTAATCACGAAATTTATTTTGATTGGAGTTCGACTCTAGTTCATAATTCCGATTACCAAACCAGATTAAAAATCATGAAAAATGCTTCAACAAAGGCACTGCAATAAACGTTAATAGGTACATAAACTCTCGCAGAAAATCCATTACATATTTTACTTCGATTGGCAAGCCGTGCATTGAAGCCCACTTGAGATTGTCCAATCAATATCGGGATGGAAAACGCTTTCACCGTTCACTTCCTGTGTTTTCTCAAGCCGGAGTCGTTGCTTATGTGCATTGACCTTCTAGTGAATAAAATTGTTGCCCTGTGTAACACATAACACCCCATCTTGAGAGATATATAGTTTCTCGTATTTCCGTGTTTGGGATATTTTTAAATTTCCGCCTAAATGACTAAACTAGGCTTTGTAAAGCGTAAACTGGAATACATATTTTCTGGGTTGAGAAAAATCTTAGGGACGTTCTGCCACTGCGCTCGCCGATCTATAAGGCGGGAGGAAGACATTATTTTTTATAGATTTGTTGTTTGCTCCTTGTGCGTTGGTGTTAGCATTAACTGCACGCTACGCTGCATGCTGTAGTAAACTTTTCGAGTCTTCAGTCTGAAAAAGACGACCTTCGAGTTCCGATTATTGTTTATTGTTGTTTTACATCACCAGACTGGATGAAGCCCCAATGATGTTAACTATAGCAAACAAAAATTAATGTTACAGTTGCATAATATTAATTGTGTAGTAAAAATTTACAGTAATTTAGGAGATTCATAAAATTTTAACCGGTATTAACGCTCGGATCATTTAGTTTGTTCGCTTTAATTCTAGAACATGATGTTTTTTTTTTCATATGCTTCCATTGAAGCGGATGTTATATTTCATATAAACATCACTCATCATCCGCCGCCTGGCTAAAAGTCAACGCACAACAGCAGCCGCGGAGTTTTCAACATAATTCAACATTGGCGGTACACATGTGACTATCCTTCTCGATGTACCCCATCTTTGTCTACCAAATGATGTACATTTTCCACTAACTTATGCGTTTGCAAGCCATCACGGATACCACCACGGATAAACAAAGATTAATCCGATACGCATCTCTTCCCGCGCTCTCATGTGTGATCATGCTGCCGGTAGGATGCGACTGCGCCCGAGTTGGAGCATACAATTGCAGCGAGTGACTATTAATAGCGCTTAACATATGTGGATAAAAATAGACCCATGGCGATGTTTTCACTTTCCTACAGTATGCTTTCTTTATTATTCTCGATGTCGATGAACCAGGCTTGGCAATGGCTCTGATCATTTCAGCTTTTATCTAAGTCGACTTCTGATGGTAAATTCTTCTTTTAAGTTATGAACTGTATATTTGCATGAATGTTTATGATCAAACATCAATCCCGTGCTTTCATCCAATTGCACGTGCGATGCAATAATCAAATAGACACACATGTCCCATTCCATCTGTCGATGTCGATGCGTCGTTCTATGAGCACAAAATATGTAGTGTTAGTGTTTACATTGACCAGAATGTATCAAATCACTGGCGCTATTTACAATTGGTGTTATGAATGAAATCGTGTTGCTCGCTTCCGAGTGGTTCTATTTACGCAGCATCCATGTAGCTGTACATCATTTCGGTGATTATCGTTTTTGTTTTGAACTTATTTTTATTTTGTTCTAAATTTAAAAATAACTTTCAGCTTATTTCAACGTGGTTGTTAACATTGTACTGTTTCCTCCTCCCAAATAGGCACTCTTGTCTGATTCGACAACAGAAGATAGTCACTGGCCACCTGAGCTTATATTACTTAGAGAGAAGTTGACTGCCAAAAGTCAACTGGAGATAGCTCAACTTCAAATTAAACATGAGGAAGAAGTGAGTAACAATACTGATACTGTTATTGTTGAGATTACTGTACTTTCTTCTATTCGATTGTAGATGGCTCGTGTAAAAGCAGATTTTGAAAAGCAGTTGCAATGGAAACTTAAGCGGCAATCAACGTTCGATTCTACCCGTGATTTTGATAAAATAATCAGTGAGCGAGATAATCTACGGGAGCTGTCCTCGACGTTGAGAAGCGTGCTGTGTGAGCTTGTAAGGTACGTGTCCAACTGTGAAGATGACCTTAACAATACGGTTATCGACGAGCTGCATAAGCATGGAATCATTCCAAATGGAGAAGAGGTACTAGAAAGTACCACTTTGGATATGAATGTATCGAATATGTCAACTTATTCGACAAGAAAGTTCCTCAAATTTACGCCGGATGTTTCTGGTTTGATTTCGATAATCGAAGACCCTTCTCTGTTGGAGTTTGTGTCCAAAGATAGCGCTCCCAACGAAGCAGTAAACAGATCTCTGAATCTTGACGAGTGCTTAGAACGACTACGGTCTGAAGCAATGCATATTTTGACACTGTCTGAGAAGATAGCAAAGAAATCGTTGACAAAAGATGAAGATCTGGATAAAGTTTCTGAAAAGAGTGATAGTTGCGAGGAAGAAGATGGTCTTAAGAGAACAAGTAGTAAGAAAGATGCCGTAGGTGCAAGATCGTTCGACGAAAACCTGGTAAGGGAAAGCAGTGCGATGGAGAAGATTCAGATCGACACCAGCAGCCTTCCAACAGATTTGACAGCATTGCAATTCAGTGGTGAATTAAACATTCAATTGCATGAGCTTAGGAATGAAAAACGACAGTTGGAGATGAAATTAGCCGACGCTTTAAGTAAACACAATAGTTTGGTTGTCGAATTGAATGAAACCAAACAGCATTTGCTAGAGCTGAATAGCCAAAAAGTTGAATTCAGTGAAGGGTATGGAACGAATGCACTGTTACCATGTGAGCAAAAGCTAGGAAACACGTTTACCGAATTGCAAGAGAGAGCTAAACAAATCCTTGGAAATACCTCTCCTGATAACACCATAGATAATAATGTCAGTTTGCTGCAATTGGTTGAGGATTTCTGCCGCGAAGGTGAACGCTACATGGATGATGGGAAGCGTGAAAAGTTAGACCTACAATTACAGGTGAGCCTTTGTTTATTTAGTCATTTTATTATTGATTTAAAATCTACTTTGCACATGAATGTTTTGACACAGTGTGTTGAAATTGATTAGGCTGATTGGTTGAAGAACACTGTTACAAACATTTCCGACTTTAACGAAATCAACGGGAAGGTAATCCATTTGTTGTTGCCGTCAATGTGGTTTTTGCCTTGCTTTTTCCTTTCCATTTACCATGTTGTGTTGTAAATTCTTTTGCTTCAAACGTCGACAACCACCTGAATGGTCGAAATATTCTCCATTGTTAAACATAAAATAAATTCCTTATTTTTTCCCTTCCTCTTATCCATCACACATCATTGGACCGCTTTCATCACTGTCCTAATGCTTTCATTCGTCGCGTAAAACAACCTTGAACTGTCGTGTTTCGTGTGGGCCCTCTTGCTCAGATCGACGCTGCCGACAAACAACTTAAAGCCACGCGGCAGTTCCTGGAGGACCAAGCTGCCGAACGGGAACAGGAACGTGACGAGTTTGTTAAAGAAATAGAAAGGCTCAAACAGCAGCTCCGAGAGAAAGACAAGGATAAGGCTATCTTCGAACACGTCACTAAAGAGGTAAGTACTTGTGATATGGTTTAATATCATGCTTCATTGTACAATTTTTCAAGCAAAATCATTTTTGCTTTTCTGCAGTATGCAATCAATCAAATAACAAGTAACACTTCTATACACCATATGCCATAGCATAACGTAACAATTCACAATAGAGACAGTAGATTGCACCGATAAATGCTTATTAACAAATGACTGTTTTCTCCACTTTTTTCCTTTCAATCTGCAATCGGAACATACTACACCTCTTGCAAATATGACTGCAAACATTCTTCCACTTTGGCTTTGGTTCATCACAATCGCACGCATCATCAAACTGCACTCAACAAATCATCACGTTTGAAAATAAAAAAAAAAACTGTGAATACAATTGATTCTATTGTTTTTATATGACATCACTCGTTTTGTATTATTAGGAAGGATTTTTGTGTGACAGTTGTAGTTGTGGTATCGATAATCGGGAGATTATTGAAAAAGTAAGTGTAGATATTTTTTTCTATTATTTGTAGTATGCTATATATTTTTTTGGTTTCGGTTATTATAGTTGGATTGGATATTAACTAGTCAAAACTAGTCATAACATGTAACATTAATCTCACATAGATTCAAATTACGTATAAAAAGCACTGATAGAATAACGGTTATAAATGTACGGTGGGTTCAAATCGTCTCACTCTGATCATGTCTCGGATAAAGGGAAATTGTTTTAATAACAATTACTAACATCGTGGATAGCTCAGCATAATGTTTCATGGTATTTAAAATATGCCCTTAAAATTGGCATTTTTTGTTTAATAATCCAATGTGAGCTGGCCGAATCAGTTCTTAGATGTGTTCCATTTTTGTTTTCCTGTGGCAAAACAAAGATCTGCTTATTTTTTGGCAAAACAATGAATATCAGCATAGTGAGTAACATAGTTCTTTTATCGATCATTTTTTTAACCTTAATTGTTCATTTCAATTAACGTAGCAGATCAAATCCACAGCATCTGACGAATCGATTTTATTTTAACCGCTCCGAATTTTTTGAAGCTTCGCATAATTCTAGATTGAGCTGGAATAAGGGCGTAACAGCTTTTGTAAACAATGACTTCTCTCGATGAAAATCATCGAAAGAAGTCATTGTTTACATAAGCTGCGCGCACGCTGAGTAGATAGAAAGAAGATTGATGACGATTCTGAAGTTTTCCTGTAAAAAGATGAGGCGCGATGCAAGTAGATGCGAGAAATGAAAGAATATTTTACGAAAATTGATTCGCTAGTGGGAGATTTGTTGAGCATCTAGAATTGAGATTTGGATGTGTCGCCCCCATCGTGTTACGCCCTAATTTCAGCTCTTTCTAGAATCGTTCACTATGAGCAATGAACCAGGTTTGTGCTGGAATTAGGCCATTTTGACTCTCTCCTAAGATTCCAAAATGGCGTTTTCGATATTTTCAATAAATTATAGCACGAAAACGGCTCATCTAATGATGTGGCGTGGATTTGATCAACTATTATAAATTTACTTGGCTTAGTTAAGGAGTGCAAATTGTTCAATTTTAAATATAGGTAAGCTTTCTTCAATTCAAGTTCAATCAACATATTGAACATCTTTTTGCGCCTATCACAGTTCATGCCGAACAATGGATTTTCGTTAATTTAAGGTTTACCTCAATATACTTGAATTCGAATATAAATGAGACAGTCTTTAGCACAAAATCGATCTTGTTGGTCGATTTTATTTATGGCACTATTCTCGATCCATTAATCGGTACCGAAGAATCGCGCTTTGTAGGATCGATCTTTTCTTCATAATACTGTATTTTATTTTGACAATTTCAGTATAATTACTAAAGTCATATTTATTTAATTGAAGATCGATTTAATAAGGAAATAATCGATAATCGAAATGGAAAATATTGATCTCGCAAAGATTGATCCAAGATCGCCCAATCCTACTTAAAAATGTCTATTGAATACAAAATCAGCACCGCTGGCAATTGAATAAATATCACATCATTATGTTTTGCAAATAATAACTTAGTGACCATCAACTACCCACGTACATCAAAAATATGCATTTGATCATTTATTTTAACACACATTATCACTTAAATCCAAACGCTGTCATCTCGTAATCCTTTGCATTCTTCAACGATTCATGCTTGTAAATATATGCACTATATTCATAAGCGCATTGCTTTGTTGCACCCCCTGACATATGGTATCGCATATGGATCTATGAGAGATAAATCTGAGTCTTTCTCCAACCATTCACAGTTCTTCACTACAGCTTATTTTCTTTTCCGTCCTTCCCAATCTCATTCTCTTCCTTTTGTTATAGCGTAAATCCGATGCATCCACTGTTGAGGCATGGTAGTATTTTATCATCCATATACCTATAATGTGTGTTTCGCTTGCTTTTTTGAGGCTTCCATTTTAAAGTATACTGGTAGCTGATTAGACCATTTGAGACGGATGAGCTATAAGTTCGAGTGAGACTGATTCGTACCCAAAACCGTTGATTTCGTGCATGTTGAATGAAGGAATGCTATAAATTTCCAATCAAACTGTGAAAATGTGCAACTTGTCGTTGAAGAAATTAATGTACGATTCTGTACAAATATGTATATGTTTTGATAGCTGGAAACAGTGGAGCAGCAGTCGAAAGAACTGTCCGCTGAACTTGTGGCAAGAGATGAAAAGATTAGGAAACTGGAGAATGATCTCAAAGATTCAATCGACAAAGGTTTTACGCTTAGGGAGATCATTACGGAGCTAGAAACTCAGAACGAAAGCAAGGTTATCGACCAACAGGTTCTGGTAACCAAGTTAAAGGTAATTTAAATTATAAATCAAAGGCAATCGAATTATTTTTGATAAAACGGTTGGTTCACTCACAGGAACTCGAAATTTACATCGACGCGCAGAATCGACAGAATGAATCGCTCCACCAAGAGACCGACATGGCAGTTCGAGGATACGATGACAAGATCGCTATGTTGGAAGAAGAACTACGTCAATCGAAACCAAGCGTTGAGCATAGTCTAGTGCTGGAAGCACTGACAGTGCAACTTCGCGACGTCGAGGAAACACTCGAAAGAAAAACCAAGAATCTCGAAACGCTAAATTCAAATTCGGCAGCATCTCTTGTGTGCAGCAGTCCTTCGGAGGATATTTCTGTGAATCAAGACAGTCCATTGCATCGCAAGAAGTCCAACGAGAGTGGTTCAGTTCCTCTACTGCCGGTTGATGAAGTGCAGCGAATATTCGATAAACTTCACCGACATACGCGCATCGAAGAGGTCGCCATAAAACGCATCAATGACCTAGAGATGCAGATCAGTAGCGTGCGCAACAGTTATGCGGTAAGTGCGATATCGTTATATGTAGATTGTTTTGAAAAGTTGTTTTCCCTGGCAGCGTGACATTAGCGTAAACATTCAACATTTATTTACCGTCTGGCTGAGAACTAACTGTGTGTCGGAAAGTTGATTTGAAGATTCAGTTCGGGGAGGAGTGCCTTGAATATGCTCATGGCATTAATTTATTTTTAGCATGATGACATTCAAACCGCCACTTGGAGGTATAAGTTATGGATAAGAATTTTAGTCTCTCTGCTTATGCTACACGCACTCGTTCAATGGCGTAACATCACATCATAGTCGGGACATTTTCGACACGTGACGGCACAACTGAAAGTAGGTTTTGGTCAAAGTCAATCATAGTTGACAAGTTTTCATGGTGGTAGTAAATCTGCAGCAGTTTTTCTGTGTATGTCAGAACCTAATTTCCATCTTAACGTTGATGCAGATAATGAAGATTTGAGTTCGGATGTAAGGATGGAAACACTAAAGTGAGTGCATTCCTTAAACCTTTCCTTCCCATAAGGCTTTTCGTTGTTTTAAGATGCAAAACTGAGTTTTTGAAAGATTTAGGGTAAGGTGTGGTAAGATGGGTCACGGGGCAAGATGGAAAGGGTAGTAAATTATTGAGCACAACGTAGAAAATCGAGTCCTATTGTTTGCGATAAATGGGTCCTCTACTTGACGTAATTATTTTTTTGTTTGTAAAAGTCAACAGGTTAAATGCAACACCAATGATGGTTTGCTTGATGGTTGACAAACAACATCAAGTAGATGTTCCACCGACAAACCGACATGACACTTAATTCTGACTTATGCCCGAAAATCGTAAACGGCCGATTTAAATGTGCAGTAATCCGAACTGTCAAAACCATAGGATTTTTTTTTATCTAGATAAAAATAATTTGTCCAGCATAGATCAGACACGGACCAATTCATAACTTTTGCATGCGGGTTCATGGCTTAGCTAAATATTTCCCGCAAACACGGAGCCAGATGTCAGCAGTGTGCTTTGGTCAGAAATTTTATTTTATTTACTATGGTCATTCATGTCGGTTTGTCGGTGGATGATCCATTGATCGCGTACACTCTGAAAAATCTTAACGTCTGATTGACGTGAAAATATAGGTGATTTTCGTCCACCCTATTTGTCACGTAACTTTTACCGGAATTGCACGTAGCCGATCAAAATTCAACTTCAATTATCTACGTGATTAGTCAGGTAAATAAGACCTGATTTCCACGTACTGCTTACGTGAAATCAGAGTGAAAACTACTGGACATCTGGTAACTTTTACGTAACATTCCGTTTTGTTTAAAATGCTTTTCGTGTAATTTGTACGTGAATTTTTAATGAGAATAATGGAATGTATATATAGAAGCAGTCAATTTTATGCAACACCTGTTTGCAGACTCAAAATGCTGATGTCACCGTCTGAAATTATAAAACTTAAAAAAAAGCTACATATAATAATAAATAGATTAATGTAAAAGAATCTAATTACCGTCCAACTTTTGCAGCAAGCGCTGAGGAATTTTGAATCTTTGAGGAGTTCTTCCACCATAAACGTTTGTGTCTTCCACCACGCTCCACGCCATATTGATTTTTTTTGCGTACCTGAAAATCACGTAAATCTCGTTTCACGGAAATATCGAATTTCCAAACACACAAACACAAATACACTATATCTATATACGGTAAATTTCCGCAACATTTTTAGTGGGCATGACGTGTAATGCAGGCCAAAGTTACAAACGTCACGTAACATTTGAGATTTTCTAAATACAAATCAGCTACGTGATATTTCACGTAAATCGGACGTGAAGATTTTTTAGAGTGCACGATAGGACTCGAATTTCTACGTTGTGCTTCTGAAAATCACTATAAGAAAGGTAACGTTGTGTTATGGCAGAGGCAATAGAACTATAATGATTTTATTATATCACAGGGACAGCACATAACAGAGAAACATTATCAAAACAGCTACAATGTACAACATAAATAAGATGTGATGATGTGATGATGAATAAGATACTACTACTTCTTTTACAGTCAGTGGTGTGTAATTCATCAACATAATAAAATCGAATATGTCTTTCAAGCAATTTTTTTTTCTCAAATTTGAAAGTTTTGGTGCGGGAAGAAATTAAGGGAAAAACTTCTGTTTTACTAATAATTGTGGTTTGTTTAAAATTTATTTCCCGGAAAAAAAGTGATCGTCAAAGATCATGTCTTTTTCGGATTATTGTTGGGGGGGGGGGTGGTTGTTGTGAAGGAGGGAGGGGGTTTACAAACATTGCATTTTCTCATTCCTCATTGTGGTCACGCCGTAAACCTTTAGCCACTGACTTGGTCCTGCTTGCTGCAGGACCAAGTTGAAATAAATATTTTCCAATTTTTCTGTAATTAAACTTTTGAAAATGTACAAATGATAATTTTATCACTGATTTCATGAAATAAGCCTTTTTACCAAACCCAGTCATCATAAACGAATACCACTTGGTTGCACATCATTCCTGAAAAGATATAAATCAGCGCTGCTTTCATGCCACTGCTCATTAACGCTTCGGACGGCGTGGCGCTTGGTCCTACAGTAAGCTGGACCAAATCAGCGGCTTAAGATGGATCACGGCGTGACCACAATGAGGAAAAGCATTAATGTAAACCCCCTCCGCCCTTCACAACAATCTCTCGCCCCCCCCCCCTCAACAACCTCTCCCACCCCCCCCCCCACCCTCAAATACCTCTCCTACCCCTTCCCCACCATCAAACCCCTCCTACCCCCCCCCCCTCAAATACCTCTCCTAAACCCCCCCCTCAAATACCTCTCCTAAACCGCCCCCCCCCTCATATACCTCTCTTAACCCCCCCTCAACAATAACCCGAAAGCGAGACAGACTTTGACGATCCCTTTTTTCCAGGAAATAAATTTTAAACAAACCACAATCATTAGTAAAACCAAGTTTTACCAAATTTGAAAAAAAAATTACATTGAAGACATGTTTGTTTACATTCAGTTGGTGAATTACACCCAACTGACGGTAAAACATATCTGGTGCCTCTATATATGCAATTATATTAACATCCTATTTTACATATTCTGCACAAAAGAAACTTTCTGCTCCGCCATGAATGGGGCTGCGGGAAATCCTATCAGGTTCTGAACCTGAAAAGATATAAAAAAGCGCTGCTGTCATGCTTTTGCTCATTGTCGCTTCGGACGGCGTGGCGCTTGGTCCTACAGTAAGCTGGACCAAATCAGCGGCTTAAGGTGGATCACGGCGTGACCACAATGAGGAAAAGCATTAATGTAAACCCCCTCCGCCCTTCACAACAATCTCTCGGCCCCCCTCTCAACAACCTCTCCTACCCCCCCCCCCCCTCCATCAAACCCCTCCTACCCCCCTCCCTCAACAACCTCTCGCCCCTTTTAACAACCTCTCTACCCCCCCCCCCCCCACCATCAAACCTCTCCTACCCTTCTTTCCACCATCAAACCCTTCCTACTCCCCCCCCGTCAAATACCTCTCCTAAACCCCCCCGTCAAATACCTCTCCTAAACCCCCCCGTCAAATACCTCTCCTAACCCCCCCCCACAACAAAAAATAACCCGAAAGCGAGACAGACTTTGACGATCCCTTTTTTCCGGGAAATAATTTTTAAACATACCATCCTAGAAGGGACGAATATCAACATCACCCAACGGTTCTTTCGGAACCACAACATCAAACGCTCCTTATAAGGGCCACAAATAAAATTAAAAGAGTTGATTTTAAAACTTAATTGCATATAATGGAAATTGAAATAGTTACCAGTGTCACCAAAATATGTAACGGCTTGTTTAGGACCATACATTTGAACATTCATAATTTATTACATTCCAGGAAAAATACTTGAACCAACATTGAACACTAACAAAATTTCAAATATTGTTTTTATGTGTCCCACACATGAGTTGTTGCTACGTGATCAACAAATCAATATCTATGTGTCGACCACATACTTAATATATGTACATATAAAAACCATGCGTGACCACACATACTATTCATTTGCGTGTAAATTTCATGTGTACTTCTTAGTGGATTCTGTTTATGTGTGGTCAAATGAAAATCATGTGGAATTTCACATGGTTATTTGTCAAGAATAATGTGTAAATTGTTTTGAGTCAACCATAACCGAAACATTGAAATATTTGAAAATTTTAAGATAAAGTATAATAGTCAAAAATGCATGAAAAACATCAATTTTGTGTGGTTCTACGTCATGCTGCGGCCGTGTCTAGGACACAAACCTTTACTTTTTTTTCCTTGATTTGTTGCCGTCGATCTTGTTTTCCCGTACTGAGTTCCAATGCTACCGACGCCAGGGAGGCAGCTCTCACACATGGACCCTACCTATCTACCCATCATGTCATGGACCGGGGACCAATGGGTTTATTTCCTTTCCGAAGGAAGGCGTGATCAGAGATGCTATGCCTCAGAAAATACCGGTGGCCCCGACTGGGATCGAACCCAGGCCCTTTGGAGTGAGAGGCAACCACGCTTACCACTTCACCACTGGTGCTGCTTAATCAATAATCTTGATCATATGCTTCACATACTTTAATCATTATTCACTAATCATAATCACTTCAAATGAATTAGTCAAGAAAATCCAGGACTGCTTTTATGATTTTTCTGAATTCACCCTACAATTCTCTAAAGTTTCCGACCATAATTCTATTTAAAATTCTCTTTAAATTTCCTTAGGACCTCAGTGCAATTTACGTCAGAAATGACATTGTATTGAAAAACTGGTCATATTATTAGAATTGAAGCACTTCTATGAAATATTCTAAACATCAATTGGAATTCTCGCCTAACTTTTCAAAAGGTCATATCTAAGAAAAACGAGGTTGAAGATTGACTAAATCTTTTTTGATACTATTTTAAACCAAATCAACTTTTGACATTTTTAAGACCTTCATTAGTAAAATGCGATAGTAAAATTGAAATTGAAA